CATTGTTTCTCTGGTGTATGGAACCTTAATAGGATAAAATGGAAACAAGCTTTGTAAATACAAAGGGGAAGAGGAGTTGGAGCGAGGAGAAGGAATGAGGGGAAAAAAAGTGGAATCCAGAGATACATACAGGCACAAATTCTCTATGATGAATATGATATATATCCAATAAAGTTAATTGAAAAATTATTAAATATTGGTTAATCCCTCCAATTACAAAGCTGTAGAGACTATCCCAAAAGCTGTGGAGTGACATCTGCTCTGGTTCGTGCCATGTTGTACACCTGTATGAAGTGCCATGTGTGCTACCAGATGCAAAGCAATTTCTAAGCTCTGATTGAACAAACACATTTGGCAATCCATGTAAGTTAAGAAACAGAACAATGACCCAAGCAAATCTTATTTAAGGTAGGCCCCAAGTTCTCTGGAAGACCTTTGCTCTTTTTGGTCATTTGAGAAGAGTCTAGCCATTCCTACATCGCCACTGGTTCTTTCAGTTCCATATACCACCATTTACCTAGAGTCTGAGTATCTATTACCTGCCTACAAAGGCTAGAAAACAATTCATCCTTGCTGTTGTCATGACAAAAGCCCCTTATCTTATCTCACAAGTAAAATATTTCAATCAAACCAAATATTTAAAGTGAATTAACTTCACTTTACATATCCCCAGAGACAATTTGGTATGCGGGCAGCCAGTTTAGTATCTGGAAAAGAGAAGCAAAACTCTCAACACCTTCACCCATCCATGCTTCTTTTCTGGATTAGTCTTGTATTGTCATCCCTGGGCCTAGAAAACCAATGACCAGGAAAAATGCTTAAGGATGTTAGCAAATAGTGAAGACTAAGGAGACAGGAAGAGGAAGGTTTCTTCCAACACTTCCCATGTGACAGACTGTGTGACTGTGACTGCCTACTTCTTATGCAAGGGTGCGCTTGTACAAGGCAAAGCAAACGCAAATCCACAGAAGGCTTGTCTTGTACTCTGCAGGTGAGTGTGTGGGCGACTACACCTCCAGCCATCACATCTGCCACACCCACATAGACTTCCCTTGCCCATACCTCAGTCTGCTGGAGATGATCTTTACTCTTTACTGATGATCAGGAGCATGTCTGTAAGTTGGTCAGGAGGAGAGGAGTAGGCTTACCCTGAGCCTTCACATCTTCCCCAACCAAACTGAATTAGCAAGATCATTAATCAATTGGAACTGAAATCCCATGAAACCAAAAAAAGGCTTTTTTCACATTTTTGCCCAAGTTTCAAGAAGACAGACAGGAGTCCACGTGCGGGGAGTCTCTTAGAAATAAGGTAGCTTAGGGCCTGCGAGATAGCTCAGTGGACTAAGCGCCTGCTTAGGCTAGCTCAGGAATCAGAGTTGGATCCTGGTATCACAGGCTGCACGGGCCCTGCCCCCGGCGCGCTGATCCCACAGTCAAGACTGGCATGGTGGGGCAGGCTCGTAGCTTCCAGCGCTGGGGAGGCTGAAAACAGGAGGATCACTGGGAGTCCGAGCTGCTGCATAGTGAGACCCTGTACCAAATACAAGAGAGAGAGAAGGAGAGAAAGAGAGAAGGAGGAGGGAAGCCACTGCGGGGTGCTGCAAGCAGCATTCTGAGAATACTTCTCATGGTGCTTCATAAACACCAGAGTTCTACAACATACTGCGTCCCAGCTTTGGGGTCAAGTAACAACAACAAAAAACTATTTTGGGCCTAGAGCGACACATCACCTGAGTGAGGAAGTGGCAAGAGCGTTTCCTCCATCGCTGGAAGAACAGCCAGGCTCGGACAAGTGCAGGGACTGCCCAAAGCTGTGCGATCCAGAAAAAGCCAGAACTTGTCTGCTGGCCCTACGCCCCAAAGAAAACACGAAAACACCGTTTCAAATTCTTTCTTTGGTACTGACCTAATTCTTCATTGTCCGCAGTGAATTTTACATCTGAAACACGTGCACGCGGGCCTGTCTCGCTGTAAAGAAAGCTAGGTTGAACAAGTGGGAGGCTAATGCCTGGCTTCTAAGAGATCCTGGGGCGCGCGAAGAGGGGCGCCGCCTCGCAGACCCACCCGAGAGTGCGGGCCGCTGTGGACGTCTGGTGCGGAGCAGGACCCACGCGCTCGGGGACTCTGGAGCTTCCGGTCCGACCCGGACCTCTAGCTCAAGGCAAGGGTCTCCACCCAGCAACAGCTGTCAGACACCAGTTCTTTGTTTACTTTTCTAGAGTTCACATAGGCCAATGGCTGGGTGGCGCTCGGCCTGTGTACCTCAGAATTTGTAATCCCTGAAAGCAGAACACCGAATTCAGCTTTCACTGCCTGTCACCGACGCGTTTCCAGTTCTCAAATAGATGGCGACAAATCACTTCTGCGCCTGCGCGCGCAGAGCATGCGAGGTGGGCTGGCCGGGAAGACTGCCCGGGTGGGGCCTTCCTAGGGGGCGTGTTCCAGGCGGGTCTTGTGGTATAGGCTTGGCCTGTATCTCCTGCCCGGGTGGTGCAGCTGCTGCAGCCCCACCAACCTGGAAATCCCTGTAGAGCTCCGGACTGGAGAGGAGGAGGCTGCGTGCCACCATGCCCAACGCTTAGAGTCTTAACAGTGCATAGTGGCTCCTCCTCCTCCTCCAAGGACAGTTCTTGGGGCGGGTCTAGCAGGAGTGGCTGGAGTCTTCGTGCTCCCTCCTCCCCTGTCCAGCTCTCCAAGGAGGGCTGTGAGGTCGCAGGGGTAGCCTCCTGCCTGCTGGGAAGGTGGGAAGACCCGACCTCCACATTAGGGCTGGCACCAGGGTCCCGGGACTCCGACCCTCACGAGCCCTACTTCATCAATCTGAGGGGATGTCAGGGAACTGGACCCCACAGCTCCCCTCCTCCCCTGTGAAATCCCCAGCTCTGTGCTACCCACGAGAGCCGTCACTCCCCACCTCCTGTGGGCCTAGGACAGGGAAAGCTGCCCTGAAGTAATGGGCGTGAACGGTGAGGGGAGTGGACCTCCATCGCTTGCGGCAGCTAGAGCGGGGCAGGTGGGAAGCCCGATAGGCGCTCTTTGCCCCCTCGGTTGCTGCTTCGTGAGACCTAGGCGTGGTACCCGCAGAGACTGCCCCACCACTTCCGGACAGGGCATCCTTTCACAGTCGTCACTTGGGAACCGTCCTAAACCCCAGGGCGGCTGTGTGATAGCAGCTGCGGGTGAAGCGAGCAGGGAGACTTCTGACCTAGCGTCCTGTCCACTCTTACCCTCGTTAAAAACTCTGCCCTGGGAATCCATTCTTCTGAGGACACAAACTATTCGAAAGTCTGTCAGTTGCAGGGTGGGGCTGGTATTCATGTGCCAGACTAGGATTAGGCCAGAAAGGAAAGCATCCAGGCAAACCTCCTCATCCCATAGCGTTTCTGCTGCTGTGCACCCGGCTAACGGGCTCCAAATGACCCTAGTGGTGGCGCAAAGAGGGGACGAGGGACAGCAGCATGGAAGATGGGCATCCCAAAGAGTGACAGGCTGGGGAAGGCTCTCTGTGCTCCTGTCCTCAAAATGCCCAGGCTGTCCTGGACGTCTGCGTGTGTCTCTGTGCATGCCCTCCCCCCAGCTATCATTGTCCCGGAGTAAACACAGCCTCCAACTTCACTGCCATGAAGGAAACACGTGGCCACTGCAGCTGGACCTGGCACAAATCCTGATCAAGCACAGACCTTCTGGCCTGTGCTGGTTCACCAGAACCGTTGACGCCCCGAACCTACTGACCTTCTTTCTTCCTACACTGAAGTCTAAAGTCTGGGTCAGGGGTCTTCACTCTCTTGTGTGGTGGCCTTCTTGTGGGCCCGGGTGGCAAGGCGAGCAGTGATTATTGTGCCAGCCCTGACCTGGCAGCGCTCTGCACAGCATTCACAGTGTACCTGGGACCACAAGGTTTTAAGAACGACTCCAGAGGAGCTTTGACAGAGTGACGAGGAGTGGGGCACAGGATTGGATGAGGCGCCCAGTCGTGGCTCCGGAATGTGGGGTCAGGGTTTCTCCGCGCCGCTCAGCAGAGAACACGGAACCTGAATAGATTCCCAGCCGATGAGCGTTCCCATAGGAGTGAGGATAGGCTTGGCCCTGAGAGGCGAGAGTGTTTCAGCCGGGCCGACTCTGAGCCCGGGGCCCTGCACAAGGCTGGAGTTTCTGGCCTTACGGCAGCACGCGTACCCCAGTGCTCTCTGGACGCGGAAAGCCGGTCGCGAAGCCCGGGTGCGCCCCGCTGCGGAGAGACCGAGGACACCAAGGACTGAGTGTTCCGCAGACTAAGCCGGGAGCCCCGCCCCCAGAGCCGAGGAGCCCCCAGCGGCACAGCTGTAATTGTGGGAAAGCAAGACGCCCCCGGGAAAGTTCGACTAGCGCACTGTGGTCTCCGATTTCGCTCCCAAAGTGTACCTTGCCGCCCAGCTACCTCGCCCACCTCCCCTCTCCATTCGTCCTGTCTTCAGCTGTGGGGAATCTCCGCGGGTGTGGGCTGCGGTCTGGTTAGGGACAAGCAGGCGAACTTCAACCTGAACACTGCACGGAGGAATTCTTGAGAGAAAGAGAATGTGGGTGTTCCTTTGGGACTTTTGGAGGCTGTGGAGATAGTGCTATCTGCAGACGAGGGGTGGGTTCCCGGGAACGGGGTACAGAGCTGCTCTGAGACTCTGCACAGGCAGGTGGCATCGCCGGAGCGGAAGCCAGGGTCTGGCAGGAGAGCCGCGGGTGGGTGTGGCTGCAGGGTGATGCTCTCCCCCTTTAGCGGCCTCGGACGACCTGGCTCTGGAGATACCAGTGAACTGACAATGGGGAAACTGAGACTCTAAGCCCGAAATGGAGAAAAGTAAGAACATAAATACGAAGTGCGCAGAGGCAGAGTGACGCGGACAAAGCGTCCCCACACCCTGCCAACCTCGCGCGCGGGCCCGGAGTGGGCAGGGGAACTTGCTGCTCCCCAAAGGAAGCAGCGACGCCCTGCTGTGGCTCGGAGGGGAAAGTACCCATCCTGCAAAGCCTGTAAAATAACCGTTTATTTAATAGTTAAAAAAAAAAACTCCAGTGATAAATGTCCGTTACTGATGGTCAGCATAAAGTGCCAGTCGCAATACAACGCCCGCCCCGGCCGGCCTGCTCAGAGGATGCGCGTGGGAGCCGGGAGGCCGCGCCGGGCACCGCTGCCCAGGCGCGAGGGTTCCCCACATCGCACTTCAACCCCGAGCCCTCTGCGGGCGGCGGGCGGGCTGCGCAGCGGAGCTGTGAGGGCGCTCGAGGCAGGTCCCTGGCCGGCAGCTGAAGCAGATACAAAGATTACACTTTCGCAGGCTCCGAGGGGTGGAGTGGGTGGGATGGAGCGCGAGGAGGAGCTAGAAGCTGCCGGCGTGCAGAACTTCTCCTCCTCTCTCCGCAGTCAGTTACAAACTTGTTTGGGCGTAGGGGGGAGGCAAGAAAGAAAATGTATAAAATAACAATTGAAAAAGTAATACTTCTGGAAGAGGCGCCACTGCGGCTCCGCAGAGCTTTCGTTCTTTTTTTAAATGCTGTTTCCCTTCCGCCACGTGAGTCCCGCCTTTTGGCCGAGAGTTGAGCGGCGTCCTCGGGGAGCCGCCCGAGCGCTGGGGTCGGCGCCTGGCGGAGCTCTGGAGCGCCGCGCGCGAGGGACCCAGGGGACAGCATTGAGGTGGAGTAAGGCCCCCGGAGCCCCTCCCACTGCCTCCAGAGTCGTCTTCCGCGAAGCGTTTCTCTGGAGAAGGGACAGCGCGGCCCATCTGTGGTGCGCCAAAGACTGTTTAACACTTGATCTTGGAGGTTTTGAGCTCCTTCACCTGCGAGTGTAGAGTCTTGTGGACAGCGAGAGTCCTGGACTGGCAGAATCCTTTGCCGCACTCTTGACATTTGAAAGGTTTCTCTTTGGAATGAATGTATCTGGGGGCAGAAACAGACAGTTAAACTTGGAAAATGGTGCTCTGTTACCTACAGTTCCCCAGGGTCTCCTCCCACTGTAAGTCATTTGTCCTTGAGGCAAACAGACTGCCAGACAATGTGTGTTTCCCGCGAATCCTGATAGAATAGGGCAAAGAAGGAGACCGCAGGGGATGTTCGATCCCTAAGCAGGGCCAGGCATAGGACCACCTGCTTTTCTAATGACAGGGGTAGCCTTCTTATAAGGCCTGGGGCAACAACAAAGATGAATGAAAGAGCCAGAGAAGAGCCTATAGTATGAGTGGTTATTGAAATTAAAATTAAACAAAACAAAAAATTGAGTCTAAGGGATATCACACTTGCCATCCTTGCAGAAAGCTCCCTTCTGGACAGCTGTGGAGCCAGAGTAAGGGAGTAGAGGAAAGTGCATGCTCACTGGAACCTTTGGAGACCTGATCTGGCCTTAGGGACCCATTCACCCCAAATTCCTCCACCCTTGCTTCAAACCTATCCTTGAGCCCCTGGTGATTGCCTTTGTGATTTTAGGCAATTCCCAGAAGCTGGGGCCTTGGAAGAGAAGGAGGTCCCTAGACAGTGAGGCCAAATATGGCAGCTTTCTCGGGCCACCTGCAGTTCGCACCTGTGATCCCGTAGGTGGTCCTGCCTCCTGAAGGCTTTGTGGCAGATGTCACAGGTGTAGGGCCGCTCATCTGTGTGCGTCCGCTCATGGATAAGTAGATTATAGGACTTGGTGAAGTGACGTCCACAGAATTTGCAGACAAACTCCTTCTTGGTCTTGGAAGGAAGGCGTCCTCTTGTGGGCTTCTTTTCTGGGGACAGCTTGGTCACATCCAGGAGGGCACCCAACCCACCTGCAGGGGATCCAGGGCCCTCACCTCGGACAAGCTTGGAAGGATCTTCCTGTGTGGCAGCCAGAGCCAAGTTGGCAAAATCGAAGCGTGGCTTGGTCTTGAGTGCTGGGCCACCGCCTCCAGCAGTGATCTCCGGTTTGGGTTGGATGACCTGAGGGAACCAGGGAAAGGCAGGCAGCTGGAAGCGTGCATCCACCAGGCTGGACACAGCACTGGGCATTTTGGAGAAAGAAGAGCGCGGCAAGTGCATGGCCGGGTAACCCAGCGTCCACTGGTGCAGGTGCACAGCGTGCAGTGCACTGAAGCCATACAAGTTGGGCAGGTGGTCGGAGGGTACTGTGGGCAGGCCATTCACTGCCTGCAGGAAAGAGTAGTTGGTGAGCTGCAGGGACGGGTGGATGGGCACTGGTGCTGGCAAGGTTTTGCTGCCCATTGTGGTAGTTGCAATCGTTCTTGACTTTGATCTGCAAAGAAGGGAAGAAGGGAGGGAGGACAAAACAAGTTCAGGGTAGGTCTCCTTTCAGAATTTCAGCCCTGCCACACTTCCTCCTTTCCATAGTTTAGTTGCTGGGAGTTTAAGACACATTTACAGCCCTCCCTATGTTCTCACAAAGTGGATAAGAGCACAGATGCTTCGGAACAGGGGGTGGGGTGGAGAGGCTTCTTCTGAGAGCCCTCTTTGATTTAAGGGTACCTGCTTTCTTTTGAGGGCTTCCCCCTCATGGCCTCTGGCAGAAACATGCTGTGGATGAACCAGTATGAAGTTAAATCCCAAGCAACACAGCCAATTTAAAAGGAAGTCCTACTGTGTATAGCTCAGGAAAAAAATGCAGAAGCACAAGGCAGCAAGCCTGAGTCCACACAGATTTACTTTCGCCTGCAAAGATAACAGAATTTGGAAGCACACTGACAGTCATGCGCTGATGAACAAAGAAATACACAGACACATAAACACATCTTCGCACATTCTAAAACAATAGCGAGAAGGTGCAAAGATACACTGGGCCACCCAGTGTCTCATTGGACAACAGTGGCTACAGAACGCAAGGACCATCTCCGCTGCATGTGCACCATGCACACACACACACACACACACACACACACACACACACACCCTCCTGCTTATTTAGGTCTTCTGGATAGCCTTGAAGCTGCTTCTAGAAGCTGTGGCACCTTCAGAACTCCAACTTTGCCCTCTTGCCTTACAGTTTGTGAACCTTGCTGGCACTTCCCTCCCTGCAGCTGTTTGCACATTGATTCCTGACCTGGCCCTTGGGGATCTCCCTCATTTGAAGGAAGGAAGGCACTGACACCCATATTCATTTAGTCCTTCAAACATCTGCAGTCAGATACAAGGGGCCTTAAAGTGCTTTCCTTCCAGCACAAGAAAGGGCAGCTGTATTTTTATGCATGTAGAGAACCCAGGGCAGGCGCTATGTGGACAAGGGCACCAATGCCAGGCCAAGCTGGTTCAGCCAATGTGTTGGAGCAAGTCAGAGAGAAGCATAGCAGGTGAGCAGAGGCTGGCATTGCCAAGCCTCTTTTGTCAGTTTCTGTAGTTTGCATGGAATGGTTTGGGGTCTGAAAAGAGGCCTTTTGTCCCTGCTTTTCTTACAGATTCCTAACTCAGGCCTATCAGGTGGAGAACAAACAGAAAGAAGGAAAGATGAAAGTAAAAAGGAGCCTTGGGAAGCCCAGGTACAGAACCCCTAGCCCTGAGTTGGAGCTACTCAGGGAGTCATTTTCCAAGCAAGGTCCTAGGAATGCTCCTCCTCTGCCCAGTCAAGATCCCCCACTACTGACATCTTCGTTTAGCCCTATTTCCCTGCTTTCCTGCAATGCAGCTCTATCAGCCGGCCCTTGTGCAGGGATCCACCCCTGTTCTATGGAAGGATGAAGGCCATCTTAATCCAGGAAAAAAAAAAAAAAAAAAAAAAGTCTGCCTTAAACAAAAAGCTGGCAAATGGTATGGCTTGTGAGGTTGGGATCTAAGGAAAG